AAACAAGCCTCGATGCATCTCAATTTTTTTAGCAACTGCATGGACACAAGTCTTGGGCAAATTAAAATCATTGCTCATTGCTTAAATTTAAGATTCTGTAGAAATCATATTATTATTTTTTCAGGTACAATCTAGAACAGGGGTGCTCAATCCTGTTCCTGAAGATCTACCTGCCTGAAGATTTCAGATCCAAACCCCGATTCAACACCTGTCTGTAATTATCAAGTGCTCCTGAAGATCTCAATTAGCTGGTTTATTTGTGTTTGATCAGGGTTGGAGCTTAACTTTGCAGGGCGGTAGATCTTCAGGAACAGGATTGGGCACCCCTGATCTAGAATGTTTTCAGAATGAAACAGAATTGTCCCGCCACCTCTACTAGTAATATAGAACATTTTACTGTAACATAACAGCCTTGTTTACCTTTAGGTTAGAGGTAGAAGCCGTAATGGAGCTCAGAGTCAACACAGATGCAGTGAAAGACACAACTCCAACATTGCCCTCATCCCAAGGACCTCTGCAAGTGGAGGATGGTGAAGAGGATGGACAGGGGATGATGGCAGGAGCATCAGGAGGCGACACTGAAGAGTTTGGACCAGTGAGTCGTCAGGAGAGCCTAGAGCAGCCCAGCCTGTACCGTGACATCTGGAGCCTGAGAGCGTCGCTGGAGCAGTACACATCCTCCGACCTGAGCAGCAACGACAGGGACTCTACTCGCAGCGATGCCGACAGCGTTTGCTCAGCGGGAGCATCGAGAGTGGGCATTCCCAGCTACCAGTCGCAAGACATTGATGATGATCTAGAAGGGGACAGCGAGCTTCCATATGACGACATGGTCAGGGAAGCCGGGCAGAGGAGAAATGGACTGGACAGCGTAGACTCTGAGAGAGGCAGCGACGGAGAGACAAACAACCGGAAGCTTCTGCAGATGGACAGTGGATACGCCTCAATCGAGGCTCCTTGCAAGGCTCCGGAGGAATTCAGATTGTTCGGGAGTAGCTCTGGAAAGACCGCATCAGAACGTCGCCGCTTTTTCACCAATTCTGGACGCAAAGGCACGGTTTGTGAGAGTTTTGAAGCACGGTTGTTCAAGGAGGAGCTGGAAGACGAGGCATCGGAGAGCAGCGTAAGTTTGGAGGCAGACACTCCTGCATCGGTTTCCCACCAAGAACCCGTGACCAAACCCAGGCCACACTTCCGCCGCAGAGACTACAGCATCGATGAGAAGACGGAGGCGCTGTTTAATGAATTCCTACGCCATGACCCCCAGTTTGACCAGCAGGGCTCGCCCTCCTTGCGTCACCGGCACCGCTCCCGAATCCATCTCAGGAAGCAGTGGCAGCGCAGCAAGCAGTACAGCGACCCCGGTGCCGCTCGATACTCACCATCTCTGGAGCGACAGCGCTGCTACCCGCTACGCCGAGGCGACAGCGCCAACTACCCCTTAGACACGCGCTACCACAGTACCTTGCCTCGCATCGCTAGCGCCGCGGACGAGGAGGCCAGCGAGGGAGCAGCGAGTACGGAATCGCCCGAGCCAGAAAAATCCGGCCCAGAGCTGGAGGGTGCTGGTCCGCCCTCAGAAACAGGCAGTTCTGGTCCAGACCTGGAGGAAAACGCAAACAACAGCAGCAACAACACAAGCCGACATTTCTTTTCATCCCAAATGCAGGACAACAGTGCCAGGCATTCTGGGAGACTGGAGGTCTTGGGAACAAATGCTCATCCCGCAGATTCACAAAAACATTCACAGATGGACCGTGGTGGACCAATGACTACATTTAGTTCTCATTTGCATTCACATACACACACAGTCATGCCGGATCCCACTGATCCGGATCAGAACTCGGACTACACGCTTCACACTCTCTCTGACATCAGTCCGTCAGACAAACTGGCATCCACACTGGACGATCGGCTCTACTCTAACCTGAGGATTCAAAGAGGGAGTCAAGAGTGTGTCGTGACTGTAAGCCACACCTCACCAGATCTAGAAGAATAAAGGGCCGTTCGCACTAAGAACAATAACTATGACCATGAAGTTGCATTAATCGCTCTGACTCTAAGAGAACTGTGAAGTCCACACCACAGCTATAACGATAATGATACAGATGAACGATATAGTTGGAATCATGTTCATAACGCAATCTGACTTTAACTTGAGCATTTAAAGTCCACAAGTGGCATAAACAGAACGTTATTGTCTGTTGGTGTGGACACTAATATAGTTAACGTTATAGTTATTGTACAGAAAAGTTTGGATCGTGTTTGAAACGGTATAGTGCCACCTATTGGTCAAGTCTGTTTTTTGGATGTCAGCAACTCCTTTTTCCATCGACAGGGTGCTGGGGCCGGGCATCTAATGTCCTCATCATGTAAAGAACAAGAACTCGATCTGACACAAATCTAGATCACGGCCATTATAATGAACAAACACCCCGCTTCCATGTACGTCACATTGCACTGCAGCACTAGACACGTTCTATTTGCAATCCAAAATGGAGAATGCATTACTATGAATTTGAAAGACTTGGCCGTGATTATTTGTGGGCAGCTTGTGCTCGTCATTCAGTTTTCAGTGAGTTCTGTAGATCCCGCAGCTCGGCACCAGCACCGTTCCCGTGGAAGAAGAACAGCAAACATCACGTTTAGAGAAATGACGGTCATGCTACTTCAGTAGAACATGAAACAGAATGAATCCCAAGCATGCTGTCTAATGGGAACATTAGCAATAAACACACACACATAAAGGATGAGGTGTGTTCTTGGCATATGGAGTCAAGTATAAGCCCTGGTACACTAACCATCGGCAAACAGTCATTATTTTAGCGAATCTGTTTGGTGACAGAACTCACACACTTCACCAGAGTACATGTAAGAGTTTAAACAGTGTGAACACATCCATCCAAGATGAAATGATAGAAACCCTCATATAACTTCATCTCATCTAGACGGATCTGCAGTCAAACTAACTTTCACTGTGAAACAAACTGCAGCCGTTTGGTGCTTTGAGTCGCATTTCAGCCAAGACTCGATTAGAATCAGCACTGAACATCTGTAAATAAACAGATCTAGAACACTTTCTGTGATGTGCTTCAGGCAGTGAAGGCTGACCTTCATCAGAATTTACTGCGGTTAATAGAGATCTTATATATCCCATAATGCACTGTTCCTCATCTCATCATCAAACTATAGCAATTCAGCCTTGTACAAGGGTCTCAGTTATTTCAGAACATCATGAGTACTTGTTATTAAATCACTGATGGTAAGAAGATCAGTGCTCAGTATCTCAGTTTTCATATCATACAACTACTAGGATCATAAATGTGTCTTGAATCATTTATTCCAATCCAGATCATGCTCAGCATTGGAGAACGCGGGGTAGGTGTAGGTGATTGTATATACATGTACATCTAGATCACTCTGAACTGTCATTTTTAAATTATAATTCCTTTGCAATAAAGGTACGTTTGTTGGGTTTATGCAAAAATCACATTTATTGGGGAAAAAAACTGAAAACAATCAGGCTGACTGATTTAAATGAGACGACGTATACAAAAATGAAATGATTGCTTTTACACAATAATCACTCAAAAAATTTAGAAAAATCTTGTTTGGAAACAAAAAGGCTCACGGTGAAGTATTACTTTAACCTCCAAAAAACAAACTGATAGAAGCATGTTGGGTAGTTTACAACTACATTAGTTATATAGTCTAGTGAGCTAGAATTAGAATGTTGTGTTAATGGCTCGATGCCGTTCTTGAACACGGATATGTTTTTTTTAGTTATATTTATGGTCTTTTTATGCCTTTACTGTGAGAGGACAGTAGAGAGCTGACAGGAAAGCACTGGGAGGAGA